ATCTTATTAAACTGTTATTTTCAGATTTCCTACCATTTAAAGGTAATTTTGTATGTGGCCAAAATAACTCAAAATACCGTGACTGAGCTCCTTTAACAATGGCTGCTTCTTGTTAGAATAAATTGCATCTTTGAAAGCGCTTAATCTTAATTTAACCCCATGGGTATATATAATATGTTTGATTATATTTTTTTACTTCTCCGATTGTGGTCAGTTTACGGTAGGAAAACGTTTGGCCTTAAGAAATAAAATGTTGTGCTTTTTTTATCAGGATATTGAAGAGTATGTTAGAGGCCCAAGTCAATATCCCCTGGTGATCCATGGGAAGTCTGGGTGCGGTAAAACAGCTGTTATTGCCCTGGCGGCCAAGGCAATAAGTGAAACCATGGATAAAAAATGTTGTGTTTGTCTCAGGTATGTGTGCTGGACCGATTCGTCCTCTCGTGGTTGAATATTTGCTGGCAGACACAGACAAACAGACAGACAGACAGACAGGTGAGCAGGCAGGCAGGCGGGAAGGCAGGCATAATGTGAGACACCCTGAAAAACAGACATACCTTGCGACTTGCAGACTAATTGAGAGATTTTCGGGTAGACAGACAGACAAAAACACAGATGAACGGCATGACAAACATAAAGAGTAACCTGTTAACTGACTGAGAAGCGGATGGACAGTAGACAGACAGACAGAGAGACAGACCGGTACGCAAAGAGACGGCAGACAGAGGGACGGACGGACGTGGCAAACAGAATCAAATTAATTAAAATTTTATTTACACTTGGATTTCCATCCATGTAATTGACTGACACTGAGATAACCAGGAGGGGAAGACAGGCAAAGAGACGGACAGACAGACAGACAGACTGACTGACTGACTGACTGATACACAGACAGACAGTCACGTAAACAAGGAAACCAGAAATCAAATAAAAAACTGCCAAAACTTGCGGACTAACCTATGCCCTATATACCCTTTACAGGTTTCTCGGTACAACACCAAGAAGTTCAACAATTCGCCGATTGCTCAAGTCAATCATGTGGCAGATCAAACACGTGTACAAGTTGACTGCTAGAGTTCCGCGCGTGAGTTAACCTGATGTCTGAAATAACACAAACTAAAGTGACATTTTATTAAAGTTGTTTAATACCAAAATCCCTGAAATTCTCATACAAACTCGTTTCCGCTTCATTTGCCGCATTTCCAACAATTTATGTTACTAAAATCGGTAACGGGGAACGGGGAACGGGGAACGGGGAACCGGGAACCGGGAACAGGAGTCTGGGAAGAGTGTACAGCGGTAACCCGCCAAAGAATTCAACATGGGGGACAAAGGAAAAGAAAAGGGAACAGAAATG